GGGGGGGGGGGGGGGGGGGTCCAGAAGTTTTCGCATCTGGCAGCTTAAGCTTTGGCGGGGCAGGGGAGGGAGGAGTGTGGGAGACTGGGAGGAAGAGTAAGAGTGGCCAAGAGGAGAAACGATAACTAGCTGCAGCTTGCTGAGGGGTGTGGAGGTGCGGCGCGCCCCGATCGCTCCTTACGGGGTTCGCCGAGCCGAGAGTTGGGGCCAGGTCTGAGGCCACCTGATGGGGAACCCCTGTCCTGCTCAGAATGAAACTAGCTGGCGTTAGCGCTGCGATTTCAGACTCAATCTCTGCCCGTGTGGAGAACCGCCCTGATGACATGAGGGTGCCAGCGCCACACTTGCCTGAAGGACAGAGGTTTCGTCAGTGTTGGGGTGCCCAGGCTGGTGGGGTACCTGGGAGGGTGCTTTCCCTCCTAGAGGGAAAGCTTCGCCCTCCTAGAGAGTGCTTTCTTTCGACTAGGAAAGCTGTAGAGGAGCCCAGGCTGATGCCCAGAAGCTGAGGGCAGGTCGGCTCCTGCCTGTGGGCTGGCAGTTCTGTCAGAGTTCAGACCTAAGGCAAGGAGCAGCCCCGGGTCTCTGGAGACCATCCTGGTGTGTTTCCTGCTCCAGCTCCTCTGGCCTGGTGCGGGCAAACGCCACCATCCTGAGCCGAGCGCCTCTCCTGAGGGCCGAGCCTGTGCCTGCCCTGAGGGCTCTGGGCTGAATTCCCAGGAAGGCCACTTGCCAGCGAACTTGTCAGAGCAGGACAGGGTCTCCGGGGCTCTGCGCCCCCTCCTGTCTTTCCCCTCCAAGACCCATGCAGCTCCTGTGACTTGAAGCCACCAGCTCCCAGGCGACTTCAGCCAATTCCTGGCAGTGTTTAAGTCAGCCACCCCGTCCCGAGCCACAGTTTAAAACTGGGAAGCAGAGACTTCCCTCCAAACAGAACCGAGCCGCAAGCTCCCCACCTAGGGGCAGTTCCTCCTCTGCCTGTCTGCCTTCTCCATCTGGGGATGTCTGCTGTGAGGCGCTTTTGTCTTCCTGCAAGTTGTGTAGAATTCCCCAGAGTGCCCCAGCATGCTCCCCACCCTGGCTGTTGCCGAGGTCCTTCAGCAAGTGTCACTCCTTGCTGGCTTCGCCTGTAGAGTTCTCCCCAGCAATCAAAGCCTGCGTACTTTGACATCTAGTCCTCAAATGTTCTCCAGACCATCGTGACTTCGTTTGTCCCGTGCATGATTGTTGAGCCCAGAAGACATGGTTTACATTTAATGGGACTGGGACACTAGGGAGGGAAGCAGGTGGTCATTCAACTAGATGCACATAAATGTGTGATGACACGTTCAAGTAAGTGCCATAAAAATTAGGGACAGGAATTGGACCTGGTCAGGGCAGCCCGGCGGGGCCTGGGGAGCCCGGTGAGTGGAGGGCGTTAGCATGGAGTGGATGTGCTCAGATCTCCTGCCGGCATGCACTGCGGCACATTGTGCATCCAGAACAGCTGCTCACACTTGTCTTCTAACCGGGTGGGGTCCTGCCCTGCCTGTGGAATGCCCAAGTTTTGCCTTCTCCATAGCAACTAATGGTCACTCAGCAATATGTGACCAGTGATTAAATGGCAGATAGCCAGAGTCTCCAGGCAATCCCAGGGCAGTGTGTGGGACCCCGGCAACTCTAGGCCCTGGAGTACAAAGAGCCTCAGCAGCCTCCCTGCCCCACTCAGAGCCCCGTAAAAAGTGTGAGAACCCATGTGCCTGATCGGCAAGGTCCCCACCTCAGGCTTCCTGGGCGTGGGGCTGAGCTGGGGGAGTATTTCAAGCAGTGACCGGGAGGGAGGTGCATAGGGTTTAAAGGACCGGGAGCGTGTCAGTGGGTAGAAATGCAGAGGGCTGGGTGCGGCAGCCCGCACCTGTAGTCCCAGCACTCTGGAAGGCTGAGGCCGGAGGGTCACAGGTTTGAGCCCAGCCTGGAAACCTAGTGACTTAGTGAGACCTGGTCTCAGAAATGTACACAAAAGGGAGGTGGGTGTACTTCAGCATGAAGGCCCTCAGTTCAGTACCACAGAAAAAGAAAAGGAAAACAGGAAGGGGAGAAGGAAAGAAGGAAGAGAAAACAGCAAATGAGGCATTTCACTAGAAGGGACCTGGCGGGCAGTGGAGGAGGGCTTCAGGGCCTAGAGCGGAGAACGGGGGCTGAGCCTGGAGGGTGCTGTGGCAGACAGTGAGACATCTCGGTCTCCTGGACGCAGCACGGCTGTCAGGAGGAAGCGAGCCCTGGTCAGTGTGCCATGTGAAGTCTAGACTTAATTCGCTCATCTGTGAAAGATGCTTCAGAGAATCGCTATGGAGCTGATATGGGGCGACACGCGTGAAGGTTTTTGTACGTAACAAAGTTTGTAAGATGTGCAAATATAGTCTGTTTCCTGTAACTCTGTAGTCTGTTTCTCTCTCCCTCCCTCCCTCCTCCGTTTTCCCCGCAGACACACACTGCATCCCCTGAGCTACACCTGCCCAATAGCTTCTCCATCTAATAGAACATAGATGACAACAACAGCCCCCGTTTTATTGACTTCTCGCCCTGTGACAGGTGCGACTTGGGAGTTCTGTATCCCTCTCTTCCTCTGAGCCCTGCAGAAGTAGCCACCGGGAGGAGTGTGTGAGGGAGCTGAGGCTGAGTCCCAGGCTGGAGGGCGCAGAACCCCGCCTGTGCAGCCCGCAGCTCCTCTCTTTGTTCCCCGCAAGCTGGCTCTGAGGAAGGAAGCGAGGCTGACCAGGGAACCGCTGAGCTCTGCCCTCCTCCTATCCGGAGACCCCCACCCAGCAGAGGCCCTGGTCTTGAATAGGGGATTGTTCTGGTCTCCTCGTGCCTCTGAATGTCGATGTTTGGGGTCATTAGGGGGCTTGGAGATGGCTTGGGGAGTGGGTTATGACCCTGGCAAAAGCCTGAATAGCCATTGTTCCCTTTCTTCCCCCTTTGAATGGGATTCTGTCCTGTCTTGGTGTCTCCCCTGGGCTGCAGGAGGGGTGGGTCAGAGGCCAGCAAGGGGGAACCTTTTCCCACCACCCCAGGGGTCCGGCTTGGCTGCCAGAGCAGAGATGCTAGCGCCCCAGCAGCCCTGCTGCCTCCCCGCCCTGGCTTCTGCCCGGGCTTTCCAGGGAAATGAGCCTGGCTGGGGCCAGGTGTGGGGTGTGCGGAGGAGAAGGAAGCAGTCTGGGTTCCTCCCAGCCCTGCAGGGTCCTTTCCGCTGTCCTTGCCCAGGGTGACTGCGCTCTGTTCAGGAGGGTCGAAGCTTTAGAAAGAAGGCCCGGGGTCATGACCAAGTGGCCTCGTGTCCGCCGGGCACGCTGCTGTTGAGGATGTCCGATTCAGTGTCGGGACGTGCGAGCGTCCTCTCACCTGAGTTCCCTTCTCAGTCATGCACCTTTTAAAATGGAGCACCCGTGAAAAGCCATGGCCAGCTCCAAGCCCCAGGTTGGCAGCAGAGCTGTCCCTCTGTCCTCTACGCTCCCCAGTCGTGGGGTGTGCGTGTGATGTCCGGCCCTTCCCGTGCCCAGATGCTTGCTGACCTGAACAGATGAGTCCCATCTCAGCTGTACAGAGACCCCGGGAAGGAGTTGCTCCCCCGCTTCCCTGGGAGGACAGCCGGCCTGGGCTTCTCTATCAGCTACTAAGTGAATTAACTTGTTTGCTGGCCATTCTGTCCCCACCACAAGCCAAGGGCACATGCTGCCACCTGGTGCTTCCGCCCACCCGCTTCATGCTGTCTTCTCTGCGTCCAGCCTGCTTTGATTGCAGACCCCTTCAAGCAGGAAGGAGGCTGGGCAAGGTGGCACTCGCTCGGAGAGGCTGAGGCAGGAGGATTCCAAGTTCAAACCCAGCCTGGGCAACCTAAGGACTCAGTCGTACCCTGTCTCAAAAAAGAAAGAAATAAAAATCGAAAAGGGCTCGGGACGTGGCCCAGCGGGAGCCCCTGGGTTTCACCCCCAGCACCGCAGCCTTAAGAGGCAGGAATGAGCCTCATTCAGGGTGACCCCTCAGCAGGCTGTGCGGTGCCGGCCCGCGCCGGGACCCCTCGGCCCATGTGGTTCCACCCTGACCTCCCTGTCCTCCTCCGGCAGGGACCCTGCGCCCGGTTCGCCGCAGCTACTACGACCCGACCTCTGCGCCCGGGAAGGGTGTGGTGTGGGAGTGGGAGAGTGACGGCGGCTCCTGGACGCCCTACGACATGGAGGTGGGCATCGCCATCCAGCAGGCCTATGAGAAGCAGCGCCCCTGGGTGGACCTCACGCCCATCGGCTTCGGCTACATCGTCGACTTCGGCACCATGGGCCAGATCAACCGGCAGACCCAGCGCCAGCGCCGCGTGCGCCGGCGCCTCGACCTGGTCTACCCGCTGGTGGCCGGCTCGCTGCCCAAGCCGCAGTCCTGGCCGCCCAGCCCGGCCCCGGCGCCGCCCTGCTGCTGCCCGCAGTGCGTGCTGGTGACAAGCGTCAAGGCGGCCGCGGCCGGCGCTGGGCCCCCCAGGAGCGGCGGGCCCCCCTCCGGGGCCGGAAAGCTGCCCCTGCGGCCCGGCCCGGGGGCCCAGGCCCTCGCTCGAGGCCCAGGGAAGCCGGCGGCGCAGGCGCTCCGGAGACCGGCCTCCAGCACCGCGGCGGGCCCCCTCGCCACGCCCCCGGGAGCCAGCAGCACACCCGGGAGGGTGGCCCTGGGCACCTTGAATCGGAACAGCCTGCAGCGCCTGGCGGTCGCCCAGTCCCGGGTGCTGATCGCCTCCGGGTAGGTGCTTGTCTGCTGGTTTGCAGCCCGGCTGCCTCCCGGGCCTGGGAGTGAGCGGGAGGGATGCGCACTGCCACCTCCTAGTCGCTGCTGCCGAGCCCTGGCCACAGGCAGAGGCAGCAGGTCCCGCAGACCTAGAAGTAAGCAGGAGGTCTCTGCTGGCCCTGTGATCTGAGGCCGGGTGCTCAGTGTCTCAGGGTCCTGCCTCCTCGCCCCCAGACGCTGGCAGAGGCGCTGTGCGGATGAAGGCGCTCACGGTACCACATCGAGGCCGGTTGTCTCCTTTCCTACCCCCGGTGGCTCTGCGGAGCAGGCATGGGCACCCAAGGTGCAGGTTCACTGCTCGGACACAGAGCCTGGCAGGGGCCGGTCGACCGGGCAGTCTTACTGGCCCCTCGCTGCAGCCGGGCACATGGTGCTGGCACACAGGGGCCCGCGATGGCCTGTCTCTTCCCACGGCTCATCTCAGCTGTGCCAGTAGCAGCCTAGGTGGAGAGTGGCTCCTGTGATTCTCCTCCGGATGTTCTCCACCTTGCTGATTGCAAACTCCGGAGGCCAAGCCGGACTGCAGCCAGCTTCCAGCCACCCCACCCGATCTTCCCTTCCCCGGGGTGCCTGGCTTTGTGCACCAGGCAGCTGGGAAGGAAAGGGGACGACACAGTCAGGACTGGCCTCCCTCTGCTGAGTGGGTAAGCCCAGTGGCCCATGTGTCCCTGGGCACCTTCAGACCTGCTGCCCATTGTACGGCCGCCTCGGAAGGAAGGCATCATGCCCCTTCTGTTCTCTGACACACGCACGTGTCAGCTCCAAACTCAACCACACGACTGCATATGCATGGGAAGGGTCAGATCCCAGTGTGGTCCTGGCTTCCTGGGCTGGAACACAGGTCCCCTGCTGTGCCCCAGGGGCAGCGGGTTGTGTGTCCTGTGTTTAGCGCTCTTCGATGTGAAGCAGAGTACAGCAGCAGCGCCTTCCCGAGTAAGGCTGTCCTGAGAATGAAGTGAGAAGTTCGGCGTGTAGGCATGGCGCAGCGCCTGCGCATACTAAGTCTGAGGTCAGCACTAGCTGCCATCAGTACTAGTAGTAGTAGGATCAGCGGGTAGGTATTGGACCTACACTACGCGGTTGCTGGAAAGAAGTTGAGGCTCACAGGTCCCCTTCCGGATCTCCAGCGCCCCTGACAAATGCCAAGTGACCCCTGCCACCAGGGAGGGGGAGCTGCCCTTGTGGCTTTGAATCTCAGAGGGAGTCGGCAGCCTTTGTCTCTGCCTTTCCTCGCCCGCCGCGGCAGAATCCGAGCTGCAGAGTGCGGAGGAGCTCCGGACTGCACGGTTCAAAGCGCTTTAGAAAGGAGCCGTTTTCTTCTGGGCTCCGAGTCCTCGAGGGCCCGGCCCACCCCGTCTGCCTTCCAGCCTGTTCCCTTTCACCTCGTCCTGCCTCCCTCACCCTCCACTGTCTTCTCGCAGGCCTTTCTTGGCTGCTTGATGAGCGCGTCGGTTCCCTTTGTCTGGCTTCCCCACCGGCCTTCTGTCGAGCCGGCCCGCGCCCCTCCCCACTTGCCCGTGACCTCTGCAGGCAGCTTTCCCACAGAGAAAGGGTGGGAGAAGTGGCACGAAGAGGGACTCTGGGGGAACAGAAGATCCCGTGCATTGTTCAGAGGCCCGAGAAGGGGGCTCTCAACGCACTGGAGCCGTGGAGGGCAGGAGTCGCCCTGGTCCCATCCCTCCTCCAGCCTGGTCAGGTCCTCTTCAGCCCAGCCTCAGCGGCGGCGGGCTGGTTGCCATAGAGACGGGGCCATTGTACTACCGAGGGTCCCCAGGTTGGCACACAACTCAGAAAAACTGCCTCTCCTCCTCCCTCACCCCCTCCGGCCTTGGCAGCTCCTCTGTTTATCAACAGAAACAAAATGCGGACCCTCCGTCTGTCTGTCGCTGAGATCAGCCCAAGACATGGGGGTGGGGTGTTTGCGGGTCTTTGATGCAGCCCCGTTGCCTGGAGGATGTCACTGGCCAGCCCCAGCTGGGCCTGTCAGGTGGCAACTCCCAGTTTCCCTCGTGGTCAGGGGCCTGCACTGCTGAGCTTTCTGTCTGACACCTGTCCTGCAGCAGCCAAGGACCCGGAGCCTAACCCTAAATGGCAGTGTTTGGCACTATGGTCTTTTGACACTGAGTCCAAACGCCCACCCCAAGTTGTGCTTCGGGGACCCGGCCCAACGGGATGGTGATGCAGAGGCCAGGACAGTGCAGAGTGGCTGGGCGGCTCCCAGGGGCTGAGCTGTGCTGAGGAGGAGATGCCTGGGCCCCACCAGGGCTCCCTCCTGCACCCTCTGTGCCCTGGGAGCAAGCATCCCGGCTGCTTTGCCCGGAGCCCAGGACAAGCCCTGCCACCGTCCTCAGGGCCCAGGCAGGGTGCTGTCTCCCACCTGGTCCCCACCATGGGCCTTCCTGCTCTCCAGTGCCAGCGGTCCTGGCTGGCATTACTTCCTGAGGGTCGGCTAGGGTGTGGAAACCTGCCAGTCCAGTCTGTGGGAACAAAGGTGGCTTTTGTCGCCCAGAGCAAGCCTCTTATCACTGGGACCGGGCCTTGGAGGTGGTGAGAGGCCAGGGGCCCGGCCGGCGGTGCGCACTGCTCCCTGCAGGGAAGCTGTCAGGAAGGCGGCCCTCACAGCTTTGCAGGGAGGGAAACTGAGGCTCGGAAAGTTAAGCTGGCCTCGAGGGGCACTGTTGCAGGGCTGGGTATGGAGTCTGGTTTTCTTGCTGCTCCTCTGCGGAACCACTTGGGGCCTGCAGAGCAGGCTTCAGAGCCAGAGCTGAGTCGGGCCTGGTTCTTGGCCCAGTGCGGTGGGTTGAACTCCAGCTCCCCTTGCGCATGTCCAGGGGACAGCCCAGGAAGGGGAGTCTTGGCGGCCTGGTCAGGACACAGCCCCTCGTCCCTCTCCCAGCCCTAGTGTGGGTTCTTCCTCTGAGGAAGCCTCTGCAGGTCAGCCCTGCCACTCCACCTCCAGGCCGGGCCCACTCTCCCCTCTGCTAGTGCTGAATTCGCTCCTCTCCGGCTCATGTTCTCTGTCTGCCCCTGGGGCTTTAGCGGGTAACCTAGGAGCTCGGCGAGGTGAGCAGCCTCTGGGCCCAGATTGCGTGGAATTCGTTTTTTTAATTGGCCTATGTGTGTGACACATGAGAATTACCCTCATCCTGGGAACCTTAACTGGCTTTACTCTCCGCCCTTCCCTCTGCCCCCTTCCCCAGGTCCCCTTGCATCCAGATCCTACCCTTTTGCCTACCATCTATCTTTTCTTTTTGCTCTTTAGACTATTTAGACGGTGGCTTTCTCGGATAAGAGAAAACATGGCGGTGTTTGAGCTGTATCTGGTTTATTTCACTTAGCATTATGGCCTCAAGGTTTGTCCATTTTCACACAGCTGACTCAAGTTTTATTCTTTTTTATGACAGAGTAGTACTCCACTGTGTATTTCACATTTTCTTCATCCATCTGTTGGGGCCAGCAGTGTGATCTTGGTCACATTTGCTTCACTTCTGTGTCCTCGACGGGGTGGTAACAATGCCTCTTGGCCAGGTCGTTGGAGGTTAGAAGTGGCTCGGATGCTCCTGGTGGGAGGCGGCCCTGGGTGTGCGTGATGGGAACCTGGGGTGAAGGGCTGTCGTGGAGCGCTGGGTCCAGCGCAAAGCAGACCCCGTGCTTTTCAGATGCACAGATGAACAAGGCCCCTCCTCCCTCCCGGGTCCCTGCACCACCCGCCCACAGCAGAAGGGCTGGCGCTCCTGGAGCCACAGCAGCCTCTCCAACAGCTGCGGGAGCTTGGGTGGCAGCAGGATGGTGCAGCCCCACCCCACGCGTGCCCTGGATTCCCGGGCCAGCCCCAGGTCCCAGGCAGCTGCGCCTGGTCTCCGCCAGCCGAGCTGCGGGAAGGGCAGGGCCGGGGTGGGGGGCTGTGAGGGGCAGGGCGAGCTGTTCCACAGCGGCCCCAGGTGCTGGGCTGGGGCCTGGTGACATCCGCCTCTCTCGGGAGCTTTGGGGAAATGCGGGTTCGCGCGATGCTCTGTGCTCTGGGGTCTGGACTGGAGTCTTGTTCTCGAGTCAGTGTTCTTGTTTTTCCCATTGCTTCCCCGATTGTTGATTGATTGACAGCTAGTTCCGAGCTCTGAACACGACAGACACAGATATTCGCCCCTGAAGAGCTTAGATTCTAGAAGGGAGATAAGCTGCAAGTTATTTTAAAAGATCATACATTTTATGGAGGACAAAAAGCCTGGTGGGAAGGTTGGGGGTCCCAGGGTGGGCAGGAGGGGTGGATCGCAGGACTGAGCCGAGTGGTATCGGGAAGGTACCTTCTGGGGAAGGTGAGCCTGGAGCCACCTGGAGCCGGGAGGGCAAAGCAGTTGCTTCTTGGAAGAGCGTTTGGGCTGAGGGAGGCCTGCAGAGGTGTGGGAGGAGCAGCAGAGGGGAGGAGATGGGGTCTGGCTGTGCTTGGGACCTGCTGCCTCCTCGGCTGCTGTGTTAGGAACTTTGCGTTCCGAGGAGGTTAAACCCTGGCCCAGCCGGGTCCCCTTAGCAGAACCATGACTAGTCCGCCCTTCCCTCCCACAGCGTCCCCACGGTCCCAGTGAAGAACTTAAATGGGTCGAGTCCCGTCAGTCCGGCCTTGGCAGGTAAGAGCTGCCCCAGGTGCTCATAGGAAAACCAGAGACATGAAAGAAGTCGAGAGTGTTTGGAAACAGGAGCAGATCGATATTACCAGGAGCAAAGGGTGATTTGGGGGCTTGCTCAGGAGGGGTGGGAAGGGCTGGGGACATGCAGTGCTGTGGAAGAGAGTGAGCAGGCAAGTCCTTAAGTGTGAGCACTCTGCTGGACAGCAGGGAGTCGGCACTGGGAGGGTGGAGCTGGGGCCGGGCTCCTTCCTCAGCCTGCCTCGCACGCCCCCAGGAATCACCGGGATCCTGATGAGCGCGGCCGGGCTGCCTGTGTGCCTCACCCGGCCCCCGAAGCTGGTGCTGCACCCACCGCCTGTCAGCAAGAGCGAGATCAAGTCCATCCCGGGGGTCTCCAACACCAGCCGCAAGACCACCAAAAAGCAAGCTAAGAAAGGTGCGGTCTCTTCCCCCGACGGGTCCCAGCCCTGGCTTACCTGAAGCAGCAGGGTCATGGCGAGGCTCAGCCCCTCTCTGCGTCTGCTGAGGGCGTCTCGCTGGTAGATTCTGACGATTATACCAAGGTGAATTGTGTGTGGGTCGACAGAAGCACCTTTGAAATGGAAACATGCAGTGCAAAACTCCATACGATAAAAATACTATTACGGTGTTCAAACACACATATTAGAAGAGAAAGAATACTTTGGCGTCAGAACCAAAACAGACTGGATTCGTATCCTAACTCTGTCACTCGCTGCCCAGGTGGCCACATGGAGCCTCTGTCTTCTGTCTTGGTAATGGGGTAATAACGTCCACTGCCAGTGCTTAGCAGGAACGAGGTGTGACCACAAAATACCGTGGGTGTGGTGTTTACATTAGGAGAAGATGTATCACAGTGACAGATGCATTGCGGTTACACCTCCCAGTTACACCTCCTTATTTCGGACACACTCGGACGTTCTTGCTCCTTTCTGAAGCAGCTCTGGAATCCTTTTCATGCCTTTACCTGGGCTCTCTCAACCGCCTCTATGTCCCGAGTCAGTTTAAAACGCTGGCCTTTCGTGGTCATTTTGACTTTGGGGAGGAGCCAGAAGTTGCAGGGTGCCCGATCTAATGAGTACGGTAAACGGGGACCGCTGTGACATGTTTCCAAGCCTATCCACTGGATGGTACATGGTGGTAGCTTTTCCCACAGTTTTAATTGTATCTCATAAACACACTCAGGAAAGAGGACTTCTGGAACTGCTTCAAGAAGTGGCAAGAAGGATGGGATAAGTGTGTCTGAGGCAAGGGGACCTATTTGAGGGGAATTAATGATGATGTCTTTCACTGTAGTGTTTTTTTAAAAAGTAATTTAAATATTTTTAGTATATGTGCTGCCGAAGTGAGCACAGAAGAGTCATTTAAATATTCACAGTGTATTGTGATTAAAGCTTGTGTATCCTGGAGTGTGTCCTGACAGTCAGAAGCACCCACCACCTGTCCCCTGGCTGCTCTGGATCCCCTGGCCATTGAGCCCTCCTTCAGGAGCCCTTTCCTGTTGCCCGCAGTCCAGCAACCAGAGGTCAGGGCTGGTTCTCAGCATCAGGCCGCTGGCTCAGCTCCGCAGCTGGCCTTTCTGCTTGATAAAGGATGCTGGCCTCTCCCTTGCACGCTCCTTGTGAGGTTTAAGTCAGATCCTCTGTGTACTGCCTTAGCCCAGGGCAGGGCAGGTCATGGGCTGACAATTCTCAGAAGCTTGATTCTTACAAGATGAGTAGGATAGTGCAGTTCAGCTTCTGGCCGTTGCATGATCCACTTCCTCAAACCCCTGTCCCACTTTTTTTAGCCTGTTAAAATTCCCCTGCTTAAGTGAGCTCAGTTGCCCTGCTCAGAGTCTGATAAGAGACAGGAGTTTACACTTCCCTACTCTTCTGTTGTTATTAATGGCACGCACTGCACCCTTACCTGGCAAAGTGCAGGGGCTTGTGCTTCCATTAGCTTGTGAATTGTGAAAGCACCGCTTTGAGGCAGGTACGATCAGTCTTCACATTTTATAGGTGAGAAAATAAGCTCAGGGCAGTGAAAAGAAGGCCCCAGGTGGCACTGCTCTTGCTGCATCTGTGGCTCCTTGGATGGCTGTACCCGACCACCCTCCACCTGCAGGTTGGAGCTTCCAAAGGGTCCAGCGCCCAACGGAGCCCCCAGGTCACTGCCGCTGTCGGGATGCTCCCTGGGCCCACCCTGTCCCTGCTCTGGGCTGTGTTTGCTGGTGGCAGCAGCACCGTCCACAGCCAAGGAGGAGCGTCCTGAGGCTGCATGGCCCAGCCCCCTGGTTTCCTGTAGAAATATTAACGTCTGTTGAAAGTGTCCTAGCATACAAAGCGTTTTCGTTTCTGCTACTGCAGCTGTTTGATTATAAAAAAAAGAATCTCACTGCACTTATCTCCACTAAAATGTGGATTCGTTGGAAATAGGCAGAGGCATGTCAGGCTGCAGATGGGGAAGGCCTATGCCAATATGTGCCCTTCCTCAGTTTCCCCAGTTGCTCTTCCACAACCTGAATCCTCTTTCACATTCTGAGATCCAGTTGCAGAACGAGCGGATCCCCTCTTCTGCCCTGGTCTTGGCTGTCACTCTCCCCTGCAGCGTGCCTGAGCTGGGAAGGTGGGTGGGCCTCCCCCTCCTTGGTGACCTTCGATCCTTCTGTCCCCACAGGTAAAACCCCAGAGGAAGTACTGAGGAAGTACCTGCAAAAGGTCCGGCACCCGCCCGAGGAGGTGAGCACAGGGCTCACCTCTCCTTCGCCCTGCGACCTCACCTCCGACACAGTGCCCTGCAGGCTGCAGCTTTGACCCCAGGCTGGTGCGGGGCTGCTCACACTGACACCAGGGCTCCGAGGCTCAGGGTCAAGAGCTGCCGCCGTGACGGGCCCTGTCCCTGCTCAGCAGAGCGCGGGTGGATTCTCGGCTCCCTTTCGTGACAGTGGGTTTAAGGAAAGCAGCGGGCGGCGTCAGTCACGCACACTCGCTTTAGAATGGCTTTGGTGGGGATCGGAGGGTCTCCGCTGGAGGCACTTCCGCCCTCCCGGGGCAGCGTTTGGCCGGGAGACCCTGTGCGTAGTGATCCTCGCAGGCAGAGGCCAGAGGTGCGGCGCAGCCCTCGCGACGGCCCCAGGCAGCACAGAGCGTCACCCAGCAGTGTTTGAGAGGCAGCGCTGAGATTCACAGAGCTGTTGTAGATTTATTCAAGCAACGGCCTCTCTGGCACATTTAAAATCCCTCTTAAAAAATACTTAATTTTTAAAATGCTTATGAGCACGTTTTAGTACCCATGACTGCATTCATCCTGGGGAGTTGTGCTTGCGCAGACACATTTGAACCCTTTCACTCCCTCCGTCCTCTCCCCTGTCCCCTCCTGCCGTCCGCTGGTGCACATGCAGCCCCTTTGCGGCTCAGTGCAAGTAAAGCTTGGCGGCACCGCGCCAGGGACCGTGAGCCCTCCGGGAGACGGGCTGCGTGGTGGGCCAGGTTCACACGTGCACGCCAGGGGTCCACAGAGCAAGGACGGCCACGCGGGTGGGCGGCCGCTGATGCCTCTCGCTGGCCCCGTCCTTCAGGACTGCACCATCTGCATGGAGCGCCTCACGGCCCCCTCAGGCTACAAGGGCCCCCAGCCGACGGTCCAGCCGGACATCGTGGGCAAGCTGTCCCGCTGCGGCCACGCCTACCACGTCTACTGCCTGGTCGCCATGTACAACAACGGGAACAAGGTCAGTGCCAGGCTCGGGGGCTACACCGCCCCACGCTGCGCTGCGGGGACCCCGGACGTTTGGGCGGTTTTAGGGGACCCCGCGGCAGCAGAGTGCTCATCGTGGCTGTTCTCAGCAGGAGCAAGCCTCCCCCAAACCTGTCCCGGCCTTCCCTTCGGGCTCCCCGAGTCCCGGGCTCGGCCGTGGCAGTCTGAGGGCGTGGCCCATGCTGGGTGAAGTGGACCCCAGCAGTGGAGTCAGGGGCTCTTCCCACAGCGCAGGACCCACGGTGCACTTTCATTCATGCCCTTGCCTGGGCGAGGGGCTCCCAGGCACCTTTTCCCTCCAGGACGCCGTTTCAACTGTGGTTCACTTTCTCTGAACAACTGCAGACGCCCTTGATTGTTCCTCCAAAGGGTCGGGAGGCCACTGGCAAAGCCTCCCTGGCAGTGGCTGCCCTGGGACCCTGCTGTAAGAGGACAGGAAGGCTGTTAGCGATGCCTGCTGCCCTCTTGTCGATGAACAGACCCCGGGGAGGTGTCCCTGGCGGCGGCTGGTTTCCAGGGACCCGGGCGCCTCCTTGAGGTCCTTCTCCCCGCCGAGTCTGAGCTTTCGTAAGCACTCACTCTTTCCTCTTCCTGGACAGCCTTCACTCCGGCCTCCAAGAGTCTGAATCCCGTCCGTTTCTCCCAGGCGCGGCCTCTGAGTCTGCCCTCCCTCTGATATCTCCCCACTCCCTCCTCACCCCAGAGCATCTGCTCTGTGGCCCTCTGGAGGGAGGAGAGGGAGCCCATCTGAACTTGGATCCTGGCTTAGACGCTGGGTGGCCTTGGACGAGATTTTCCAGCTTCAATGAGATTTCATTTTCCATCTGGAAAATCAAGCTGAAGCGGTCCCTCCTTTCTCTCCTTTTTAGGCTGTTACCACCTCCCCATCGCCCTCGCCTTGCACTGCTGCTTCGATCACCCCTGCTCTTTGCCTGCCCTGGGGGCTGCCACCCTCGGGTCTTTCTGTGTCCCCGAGACTCGCTGGGGCTCCCGGGCCTCAATCGTGGGTGGGGTGAGTCTGGCCCTGGGCTCCCTACCCAGCCCTCAGCTGAAAGCCTTCTTCTCACACTCCATTCCAAGAGGTATTTGGCTTGGAAGGCTTTCTCAGCAGCACCTTTGTTGCTGTCCAGATGACTGTGTTCAGAAATGCTTAGGAAGGCTTTGCACTTGCGTGTGTAATGCTTCAAAAATGTTTCTCAAGGTGCTCGCCTCTGTCCTCCTTTTTACGTAGACTCTGAACATGGGTTTGTTTGTCAAACACATCGGAGGAAAGGGCCCAGAGAGGGAGTGATTCACCCGAGGTCCTGAGCAAGTCAGGGCCAGGGCAGGGAGCTGGGCCCTGGCTTCAGGGAGGAGCTGCCCTTCCTCGGAGTAGCTCGGCCAGGGTCTCTGTCTTCCCAAACAGGGGCCCTGTGGGGCTCGGCTCCCAGCTGTGCACCAGCACGTCTGCCCCACGCACACCTGGCCACCTCGCACCTCGCTGCCGCCTGCAGCAGCTCCCTGCCCCGCAGCCCTCTCTGTGTGTCCCTTCCTGGCCTCCTGCAGGCTCCTCCTAGCCTCTGGGCGATGCTGCACTGGGTCTCGCAGTGGAGCTGCGTGGCCCTTTGTGTCACCACGTGCACAACCAGCGGTCGGCCCTGGAGTTGCAGCCCAGAGAGCTGCAAGTGCTGTGATCTTGCGGTGCCTCCGAGGCTGAGGCAGGAGGGGTGGAAGCTTGAGCCCAGCCTAGGCCCCTGAGCAACTTAGGGAGACTGTCTCAAAAGAAATGAAACTTAAGGTTTCAACATGGCGAGGGGGGTGACTCGGTGTGCAGGCCCTGATTCGGGCCTCAGTCGTACAAAAGTCAAATAATCAGGCTCAGAACCCCTTCCGCGCTCACACCAGAAAGGGCTGAAGCTGAATGGCAGGAGAGCCGCACTCTCCTGTGAGATGTGCAGTCCCGTAAGGGGCAACGCAATGCCGTTCCCTCCTCTAGTTATCTGTGCAGCACCCGTCCTCTGTCCTTGTGAACCAAGTTACGCCCATTTCCTTGAAGTCCCCTTCGGTTGCTGCAGCACAATGCCCAGTTTTTCTTCTCACGGTGGGGCCCTGAGCCTGCGGAGGCATTGGGGTGCCCAGAACCACATTTGGCAATGCCACGAGCTGAATACTCCTTGTGGGTCACCTCACTTACGCCTCCAGCGACTGAGCAACAGACACTGTTCATTTCTTGTTCTACAAGGAAACTGAGTCTCAGAGAGGTTAATGAATTTGCCCAAGGACACAGAGCAGGTAGACGGGAGGGCTGAGAATCGGATGTGGGCAGTGTGATTTTAGGGTTCAGCCACTGCACCTCTCAGCCTCCCTGTTCTGAGCAGCAGCTTCCTGTGGGGTCCAGATGTCTTTATTTTCAAGACTTCTCCCGGGTGAGTGCTACTCGTTAGTCTGGCAACAGCTGCTCTGGAATGCTTGAGCCTGATCCACCCACTCAGGACTCAGCGGTCCAGTAGTGACTCCCCGTGTAAGTCCCTGTGCCAGTCCGCTGGTCCCCCTCAAGGAAAGGGAGTCTGTTTTGTGTCCCTTAGCGTGGAGCCTGGGGCTCCTTCCGAATTTCTTTCCTGTTCCCGTGGAGGTAGCTGGTCAGGGTTTCGGGTCTGGTATTCACTTGAGTGCATTATGCCCCCCGCCCCACCATGACTGGTCCCCGACGTCTGCTACCGTTTGGGGTCAGGTGGGGAGATCATGATCAACACTGCTTCCCAATCGCCGTTTCAGGACGGGAGTCTGCAGTGTCCAACCTGTAAGACCATCTACGGGGTGAAGACAGGGACCCAGCCGCCGGGGAAGATGGAGTACCACCTCATCCCCCACTCCCTGCCGGGCCATCCTGACTGCAAAACTATCCGGATTATCTACAGCATCCCCCCCGGCATTCAGGTGCGCCCCCTGGCGTTTAAATATTGAACACGCTGATGTCTCCTTCCCACCTCCCCAGGGTCTGGCCCCACACACCCTGCTGTCACCGCCATTGTTCAAAGTTGCTTACGAATCCTTGGGGACCCTTTGTGCACGTGAAGCAGAGGCGCCTCCAGCCCTCCCGTTTTTACACAGAAAATGACATTTAGGCACTTTGTTTCACACCCTGCATTCTTCTATGAACAATGCAGTCTGCAGAGTTTTCCAGGGCAGTCTAGAGAGAGCTTCCTCATTCCTTCCTATGTCTGTATAATAATCCATTGTATAAATAACTTCATTCAACAGCATCCATTTGATGGGCATATGGATTGTTTCCAGTCTTTTGCTACAATAAATAATGCTGTAATGAATAACCTTGCATGCATGTGAGAATATCTGTAGAATAGTCCTGCCAAAGTGGAATTTCTTTATCAAATGGGTATTTGCATTTCTAATTTGATAGCTCCGCTTGGCTTTGACTTTTGTGGGCATTTCTTTCCTCTTTGGCTCTTTGAAAGCCAGTCTTAAAGGACAAGTTTGAACAGTGTCCCTGACAGTAAATACAAATGGGACCGTTCCTTCCCACAGTGAAGCTCTTTCTAAACATGCATGGGTAGAGACTGGACTCATTTCTTTAGCAAATATTTATTCCTGCACCCTTGTTACCCCCTATTGTTTGTCTTCTCTTTTAAAACAGATGTGAGTGTGCATTATGGTTCAGCCGTCCTCTAGGTACCAGAGAAGCTCCCTGAAGTCCCCATGGGAGTGAGACTGGGAAACATTAAAACAGACAAATAAATGAACAAGGGACTCCCCAGTAGTCATAACTGATGGGGAAATGAAACAGAAAGGTGCGAGCGCCTGCAAAAGGACGGAATGGAGCGTACTTCTGTCTGGGGCTCACCTGGCCAGGGAGGGAGAAGTGCACGCCACCCACTAACCTAGCGAGGAAAACCAGACGTGTGCCACTGATGAACGCTCCGAGAGACAGTGCAGACGCAGGAAGCAGACGGCCAGCTGAGTCTCACGAGCGGCTGGTGCTGGGCAGCTGCCTGTTCTTGCCAGTTGTGGTTTCTCCTTCTCTAAGCCGGGCAGGAACCTCGCAGGCCGAGGCCGTGAGAGCGGAGGAAACTTGTGTGTGCACAGACAGGGCCTGGGCACAGGACCAGGGTGCGAGCCCCCTTATTCCCATCCTTATTTCCACGTCCCCCTTGTCACGGAGAGGGGCTGTCAGAGACCTTCCGGTGCAGGTCCCCCCGTGGGCCGCGAGAGGAGTGAGCGAATGGAGGACGGCATTTCTAGCTGGAGGGGAGATAGAGTGGAGGTGCTGAAGGACCATAGAGGAGAGTTTGATTTGGGGCCTAAGATTTTCGGCAGGGAGCAGAGGGAGCGCGCAGAGATGAGGGAAGTCGTGGCCAGAACCTAAAAAGCCAGGACGTGGACTTTACTCACCAGGCAGCAGGGAGGCCCTGAAGCCTGCTGGGTGTGCGGTTGGGATTCTGGAGCCTCTGGAGCCTCGTGTGATGGGATCAGTCTGTAGGAAGCCAGGCTGGCGTCCAGCACCGGATGGCCAGAGGACAGACTGCTCAGGAGACCCGGCCGTGGGCCGGGGCCCAGTGATGGGCTGAGCAGAGGCACTGGTGAGCCTGTGCAGTGACCTTGAGGCTGCCAGCAGGGCGAGGGGGACACGACTGGCGAGGTGCACGCCCAGGTCAGGCGTCATCCTCACCTCCGCGGAGCGCTGGCTCCTCCGGAACGGAGTCGAGGCCGGGCACCAGCTTCACTTCAGAGAAGTGCTCCCGGGAGGCATCAGGCAGAGCCATGGCGCTGCACTTGGTGTCGGGCCCGGAAAGCACAGTGCTGCTGGGTCAGTACCAGGCTGACCTGCACGGGACCCACACACGCCGGCCCGGGGTTAGGAGGAGCCAGGCTGCACCCTCGTGGCTGTGGGAGGCCGCCTGCCCTGTGGTGACCCCCTGTGTCACTTGTGACTGTCAGGCCCTGCTTCTCCAGGAGGACACCACTGCTTCCTTCCGTCCAGGGACCTCGCTTCTCAGAGACCCCAGTACAGACTCGGCCCCACCGTCCCGGGGGCCAAATCCCACGTGCCCTGTGTGTGCACTGCTGAAAACGAGTAGAAAACCGTAGAATTTTTCATCACTTTAGAATCGTGGTGCACAATAAAAGATGAGAACTCGGAGCTGGGCATGGCAGCACACGCCTGTGATCCCAGTGCTCTGGGAGGCTGAGGCAGGAGGGCTGAACCTGGGTGCCGTAGCTGCTTAGCAAACCCGTCTCAAAATAAACTATAAAAGGGCTGGAGATGTAGCTCCGTGTGCAGGCAGCTGTTGAACACAAGTGCCGTGAAAACCGAGCAAAACAAAATCCACGTTTTCTCACGATGTTGTCACATGTTCATTTATTGAGGAGTGCAGGCTGGATGCACTTATTAATCACCTGGAGGAGAGCTTGTGCCAGCAGCTGCGTGGAGTCCTGACTGTCATCTCAGTCGTGTCTACAAGGGCTTTTTAAGCAGGGTTCCATCCCTGAGGGGTCAGAGATGCTGCGTTTCTAGACAAGTATCGCGCATGCGAAGTAAGGGCACTCCTTGTGAGTGCAAGTTTATCACTTCTCGTGAGCGCTCAAGGGCCCAGTGGGCCAGAGGAAGCCTGGTGTCCCGGCCGGTTCTCTGCTGCTGTAAGGGGGCAGCTGAGGTGGGTGACTCATAACAAAGCTCGGTTCATGTGGCTCATGGTCGCAGTGTGGGAAGTCAGATCGGCGGCTGTGTCTAGTCAGGGTGTGTTAGGCGTCACTGGAGGAACAGATTTAATGCAACACACATGGTGAACCTTTATAGGTGACATATAAAGGATGACAAGGTAGGCGCACCATGGCCACCTGCAGAGTCCGGTGTGGAAATTGCCAAAGGGCCGGCTGGGTGCGGGAGAGCCAGAGCATTCCATCGGAAGTCAAAGCCTGGAGCTCACTGCAGAGCCCAGAGAGTCCGTATTGGGATGCCAGGGGGACTGCACTGGAGGCCTGGAGATGGACGTCCAAAGCCGATGGCGAAGACAGGAGTGCCTCTGAAGAAGCAGAAGTGAGCCTTCCTCCTTTCCTGTTTACTCCATCCAGGCACAAGCCTGTTGGGTGGAGCCCCACACTCAGGGTGGGGTGACCCTCTTCAGCATGCCCATCGCCCATGCCCGAAAATGTGCTCAACCAACCAGCTGGGCGTCTCCTATGCAAGTTTACCCCACAGTTAACGTCTCACAGGGCCTTGTGCTGCTTTAGCTCACAGGATAAAGCACCGGACAAGCACATGTGTGCAGAGCAGGGAAAATTCGAGGAGCGGCCTTGCTGTATAGCAAGGTAGTTTCACCCTAACGTGTCCAGTCTCTTGGGAGGGAGCTGGGCACACCCACTAAGAAAGCGTCCATCCGTCTCCCCCGATAACCTAATCGATTCTTAAGACCCAGGGCCAACGCAGTTGCAGTGGAGTCAGATTCTGCATGCGTTTCATAGGGGACAAACCATATCCACAGCCTCAGCGCCTGGATTCCGACTTGATTCTGCTTCCATTTCTTTCCCACCAGTGGCCTGAGATTGTCCAGTAGGGCCCTGAGTGGCACTCGCTGAAATGTTTTTAGGAGATTTTTAGTCCTGGACATCCTCACCAATATTGCTAAGCAGGAAAACAGCCAGAAACTGCTACAGACAGAAGAAGAAATCCAGGAGAATCTTTCAGAAAGTCCCACAGACCCTAGCTCAGAGGCACTTTGTTATTTGAGTCATTTAACAGGCCCAGAGTGCAACTCCTGGGGAAACCTGGCCGGAAGTTTTAGCAAAGCTGCTAACTTCGCGGAAGCCGTTTAACCCCTCAGGGAGGCAGTTTTCCTCATCCGTGCAGCCGTAGAGGGTGATGAACCTGTGCTGAGCTCTTCCTGGGCCCCATGCCCTAGGGCCCATGGTGAGCATCCCTCACCGTGCAAAGAGGGCTCCCGCCAGCCCAGCCAGGAGGAGGGGACGCCAAGGCCGTGTGTGAAGCGCCCCTCACACTGCCTAGACTCGTGTCCGTGACTGCTGTCGCCACACCCATACCCTTCTCATCAGAGACATTTCGAAAAACACCCTGTGTTTTCTCTCTCTCTGCTTTCAGGGGCCGGAACACCCGAATCCTGGCAAGACTTTCAGTGCCCGCGGCTTCCCACGACACTGTTACCTTCCAGACAGCGAGAAGGGGAGAAAAGTAAGCTCGATGCTTCTGAGCAGGGCCAGGGACGCAGTTGCAGGGAGGGCCTGGGGTTTTGCGTCCTGCTGATCAAAGAAGACTGGGTCTCTTTTTATTCTAGATACGCACAGCAACGAGGGCCCATCTGAGTCAGCCACAGGGAAGGGTGCACAAGATTAGAATAGGTTGTTGGCAGATGGGGACAGTAGAAACTTCACTTCTCCCGCTCCAGTATGTTGCTGACAGTAATTGTCTATTTGAGGACCCCATGTCTACAGCCTGCTGCTAAAGGCAGCTGCCGGGGACAGTACCCAGGGGGACCCTAGGAGCCTGACAGAAGCACAGAACTGTGGTCCGCTCCATCTAAGGAGGTCCCTGGCTGACCTGCCCACACGTTGGCGCGTGAGAAGTGCTACCCCGGGACATGGATCTTATTTGGTGCAGGATTATTTTATTTTATATTTTACTTATTTGCAGTGTTGGAGATTGAACCCAGGGCCTTTGTGCCGAGCTATCTCCCCAGCCCTTTTTATTTTTGAGACCAGGTCTCCCCAAGTTGCTAAGTTGCCCAACTTGGGCTTGAACTTTTGGTCCTTCTGCCTCAGCCCCGTGGATTGCTGGGATCAAAGGCATGTGCCACCACACCCTGCTAGGATGATTTTATCTTTGTATTCTTTTGTATTCCTGGACTTTTTCCAAAGAGCAGAGGAACTAATGATTTGGTTCCCAGATTCCTAGTAATTCATGGTCAGACTGCAGCGGCCCTGAGAACTCTAGTTAGAATAGAAACTTTGTGTTTGCTTTTCAGTGGGTGAGGCCAGAAAGAATTTTTCTTGCTATCAGGAAGAAAACAGAGCCATTGGCCTGTGTCGAGTGCGGGGGGAATAGTGGATAAGAGGTGTGCTTTCCTCAGCTTTCCCTCCAGCCTGTAGCACCTCACATCCACAAACATTTATTTCTCATGCACATCGCATGCAGTGGCTGTGGCTGGGTTTTGCCATAGGCCAAGTCCAGGATGGGGACGCCGGGAGGTTTGGTGTCTCGCAGGGCTGCTTCCTGTTTGTGGACAAACCCTCCTCTGGGTGTAGGAGTAAGGAGTCTCCAGGCCCTCTAGTGGAGCTCCGAGCCCATCCACTGAGATTCATTTCGACAACCACATCCCCTCCCATCTGTCCTTGGGGATGGGGATTTTAACAGTTGAATTTAGGGGGTTCATAAATATCCGGCTTCAGGCCGCTCCAGGTGTCTTCCTGTCGGGAACCAGGTCGGAGGAGCAGGCCTCCATGGTCCGTGCCCTTCCCATTGGAAGGAGGCCATGGACTGAGAAAGGCCAGGTGGAAGAGTGTGGTCTCGTCAGGCCCACTGCAAGCTTTACACTTCCACACACTTTCTGTGGCACCATGAGTCATGGACTTGCAGAGCAGTAGTTAGGCGCCTGCAAAGAGGGACCTGGGTCTCCTCTTTCTGGGAGGGAGCAGGTAGCTTGGCACAATGAGAAGATCGACACGTCAGGAAGATGTGCAGCACATGGCTTCCGGACTAGGAGCCAGGGCCAGCTCTGGTGCCTGTACCCCTTGAACAGCCAAATCTCTGTCCCGAGCCCCAGATCTGCTCGGCTCGGGGTGTCTACTGTAAGGTCCTTGCGCTCTCAACTGGAATCGTGTTGCCAGGGCTGCCTTCTCCCCGCTTTGTGACCCTGATGTACCCTGGGTCCCTGGCCCCCAGACTGGATGCGTGCGCCACCTTGGGACATTGTTCTTCCCGACCACATCCTCTTGGCTCCTTCCGCCCCACGCTGCATTCCAGGCCTTTTGCCTTGTTTTTATGATCTTGCTGCCGCCAGCCCTGGTAATGCTTCCTCATCGTTTTCCCGCTGCTGTTAGTTACCCAAAGCACGCGCTCTTACCTTACACTGCTTTGTTTAAGAGCCGTCAAATTTAAAATCAGCTGAGTCACTTCCATGGCTTTCTCTTTCTTTTTCCCGTCTTCTCAGCCTAACATGCAAACACCTGCTGTGGAGTGAGGTTGAGCCTTCCTCTCTCACTCCCCCACCCTTCACGCCTGCCCTCCGGGTCCAAAGCCCTGGGCTGCGCTGCAGCATGCGGGGCAGTAGGAACACAGCCTTGGGGCCAGAGCAGCCTGGTTCTGAGTCCCACTTTACCACTCATTGGCTGCGGAGACCGGAGACCGGGACAGCTCCACGGCCTGCAGCCTCGCCTCTGAACCTGTAAAGTGGTGATAATTTCTATCTGTGTAGACAGGATGTTGTAGGAATGGAGGGAAAGCAGCATTTGTGAAGTGCAGTGTGGCCCCAGCTGCTGCTGTCGCTATCCGCGCTCTGGGCCCACACTTACCAACCGACCGTCTACCCACCCTTGTCTGTCGAGATACCTGGAATGCTCCCTTCCCCTGCGACTCAGCTCGGAAGCAGCCTCGTCCTGGAAAGCTGTACCGACTCTGTCTGAGTAGGTGGCAGACCCCGGCCGTGCAGTCAGGTGGTCCTGAAGTCAGGTTTCTCCCTGCACCCGCCCACCACTTCACCAGCTAGGACCAGGGCAAGGTTTTTATCTTCCGAGCTTCTGTTTCTTTATTTGCAAAAAGGGGTTGTGAGAATACCTGGCCCATCCATTTACTGTGACCATCGTGTGACTCCGTGCCTGGCACTTAGTAAGTAACCACTCAGGAAACGGTCTTGAGTATGCGAAAGTTTACACTACTAGGGTCCTCATCCACAGCCTGTGCCATATTTGCAGCAGTCCCATTTGGAAAGGATGGCATTTTTATCAGGTACCTTCTGCATGCTTGACACTGCTGGGTCCAAGACTGCAAACAGAACATTAGGTATTAGTCTTGCTCAACCAAAATGTTGAATTTCGATGAATTGGGACATTCTGAAATCCCCCACACTTCCCCTGGGCCTCAGTTTCCTCACCTGTAAAATAGGGACGACAGTAGCTCCTGCTGTACACCTGGCTGAAATGTGGTGGTGAGACCCGGAAGGGCAGATAAACATGAAAATGCCTGGAATAGGGCAAAGTGCTTCAGGATGCCACTCAGAAACGCTTTAGCACTTCAGCTGTTGGTGAGTTAATGCAAGCTTGAGGCGATGGTGAGGAGTCAACCTTCTCAGATCTAAGCTCCCTCAGCTCCCAGATCCTGTGGTTTACATGGCAGCTGTGGTGCTGGTGACTGACGTTCTTAGGGTGCAGTAATGTGCTCCTAGCGCTGGTATGAAAATGATCTTCACATAGTTCCCGATAAAATGTTCACAAGCTCTGAGACAAATTACTCCACTGCCATTTTATGAATAAGGAGCCTAAAGCTCAGACAGGTGCTGTAACCTGTGCAGGGTCACACAGCCGTGCAGTGACAGCCAGGAGTCAGCCTGAAGCTGCCTGGCTCCAGTCCAAACTTGTCTTCCTGCGGGTGGCTTGGAGCCTCGGGCTGTGGGAAGGGGAGAACCCTTGGGAGGACTCCACCATCCCAGCGGCAGTGCCTGACCAGCACTCTGCCTCCCACCCTTGTCCCTCCAGGTTCTGAAGCTGCTGCTTGTGGCCTGGGATCGCCGCCTCATCTTCGCCATTGGTACCTCCAGCACGACAGGCGAGTCCGACACGGTCATCTGGAATGAGGTCCACCACAAGACAGAGTTTGGCTCTAATCTCACTGGCCACGGCTACCCAGACGCCAATTACCTGGATAACGTGCTGGCAGAACTAGCTGCCCAGGGCATCTCCGAGGACAGCTCTGCCCAGGAGAAAGACTGAGGCCAGAGGCGCTTTGAAGTGGGGATGGGGGACAAGGGGACCACAGGGGGGAGGGCGGAGGGTCCGGGCGGAGGTTGGTGCAGTGCCCTCCCTCTCGTCCTGTCTCCACCCTCCGGGAGGCAGGGGAGCCAGACTGAACCAGCGACACCCTTCAGAAACCATCCAGCACAGGGGACGTGGATGAGGGCCGTCCTCTGTTCCCGGGGAGTTTTCGGTGCTGGGTAGACAAGAACTCCCACCCTCACCCCCATAAGGGGTGCGGTCAGCACACTTCGGGTACGGCCGCGGGCCGCTCCACACCTGGCCTGTGAAGCCGAGGTTCCCCGCCTGGGCCGGCTTCTTGCTGCTTCCGCTCTGCCTCAGGAGTGGAGTTGCCCCTTCTCTGTCCTCCACTGGAGGAAGAGAGCTCTCACTGTGTAAGCCTGGGCGGACGCGAGGCCCAGAGCCGCTGTGACGCCAGAGCGGACAGAGGTGCAGGGCGCTGAGGCTCGGGCTGAGGGCCAGAGAGGCGAGAGGCAAAGCCCAGCTCCCCTCCCGCCCACGCCCCGACCTGTCCAGAGGCGCTGGCTCCCTCGTCCGAGTGGGTGGACTCGCGCTTCTCTCTGGGATGGGTCCCCGAGCTTCCGCGCTGTCCTCAGGGAGAGGAGCCCAGGCCTTCTGCCCAGTGCGGCCCGGCCCGGCCCAGCTCGAGGCCCTTGGGTTTTCTCTCGTCACTGTGAGTGGGGCCCGCTCTGGGCTCTGCGCCACCTGTGTGCGTGCATGTGTGTGTGGGTGTGCGCGGCTGGCCGGGTGGGCACAGAGCCCGGCGGAGCCCCTCCCCGAACCCTGGTTCTGTGGGGTCTGAGCAGTCTGGCCCTTGGTTCTCCTTACCCTTTACCAACCAGAATCAGCTGGGATCCTGAGGGAGACAGAACTGTGCTTTGGGAGGTGTTGAGGTGAGAGCTGGATCGATCCTTTTCTAATTTTTCTTTCAAGATTGGATGAGAGCTTTCTTCTCTCCGGTCTTGTTTCTATGAGGGCTTCACTGTCTGCATGCAAGCCTGGTGACGGTGCTGGGCCTCTAGTCCCCTCCTCCGTTACAGATTGACCTAGACCACGGTGGATGCATCTTTAGCTCATTCCTAACAGTGTTGGGGCCGCATTGTGGTCCGGGCTACCCAGCATCTAGGTTGTGCCCCAAGACCCCGTCTGTCTCCTCCCAATATCCTGTCACCTTTGGCTCCCATGAGGGAACGGACTGGGGGTCAGGAGGGGGAAGGTGGGGGATCAAGAAGGGAAACCCAGTTCCCCCTTTGAAAGTGGGTTCTTTGAACTACGTGTTTGGGGGAAGTTCCTCTGGATACTAATTTGAATTTATATACCTCATGTTTTGGGGGTTTGACGTATATATATGCATATATATTTCGTAAGATTTGGAAGGTTTTTGATGCTAGAAAAATTGGAACAAAACAACTTTCAACAATGGTACTTGAGTTAGAGCTAAGGCCAAGCTTTCATGAGAGCCAGCTCTGTCTCTGCAAGGCCACAGCCATTCTGCTGTTGGTGTGGCCGCGGCAGCGCCTGAGTATTACCTAATTCAGTTGCCTGGGACTTGCTGCTGCAGCCTTCAGTTCCCCAGTTGGCTCCACCAGGGGGAACTCTAAGAAGAGAAACTGTTTCCGCCGTCTTAGTCGCGGTCTCCCCTGTGAGTGGGAAGGCGTTTTGTCTCACTGCATTTTGGGATAAGTTCCCGCCACAGTCGAGAAGGAAACAACAATGTAAGAAGCGTGCCCGAGGAGATTAATGTCATGTTCTGTGCCCTTTGCCAGGCAGGCCAGCACGTGCAGAGATCCCTGGAGAACCTCACTGTAGAGAGGGCCTGGGCTGGGGAGTCCTGGTGAGGCAGCAAGCGGGGAGGAAAGGGAGGCATGCTTGGACCGTGGGAATGGGCAGGGGGAGGCGCCTGGTCAGGCAGAAGGTGGGAGCAGGGAAGGGGACCCGAGGGGACCCACAAGGCAGCCAGCGCACCGCTGGCAACACACTTTGAGAGCCGGGCTCCATGCCGTCCCCCAGAGGACCACGATGCGGCCTGGCCCTGTCTTTCTCCCTCTCAGGATGCCACTCTCTGTTGGGCTTTCTGGCCAGAAGGGATCTTGGATTTCCCTTCTAACATGGTGCCAGGCAGGAAGACGGGGAGGGCCAACCTGGAAAGGCAGTCTCGGACTCAGTGAGGGCCCTGCCAGCTGAGCGCTGCGCCCGCCACATGGGTGCGTGCTGTCTGGCTGGCGACCTCCTGGCCCTTCCTTTCCTGGTCTCCAGGGGTGACGGATGGGATCGCACACAGCCAGAAGCTGGGCCTGAAAGGCCATGTGGTGCCTGGCTGTGTGTGCTCTGTGTGCTCGTTCTGGGACAGTTGGACTGCGCTGTGGCTCTGTGCTTGTCTGAAGTGCTGGTCCTGGTGTGGCACGCTCGTGTGCATGAGGACTGGGGGCCTGTGTGGTGCGGGACGTCCCTGTCTGGCCACCTGCATCGGAGTGGGGGCTGCTGGGACAGGGCAGGTGATTGTCCATATGTGAATCGTTCTGTCTGTAACTGCTGTGATTTGAAATTTTTGGTGTTGCTCTGTGAGAGGACATCGCCACCTGGTGCTCATGGGTGTATGTGCAGAACAATAAACGGCAAATGAACAACCGCAAATTGTCGCTCTTGGTAACCTTCTGGTTTTGGTGGAATAGCGTACCTGGGAAGCATCGGGGTTGCTTCCTTGAGTCTGTAAGCAACCACAAGCCCTTCCACAAGATAAGGGGAAAGTCCCTTTTCTCTAATTTGTTGTTAGATTTCCACATCTTCACTGGCCGCACGTTTGACCTGGCTTGGGTCCCTGAGAGACCACGGGGCAGGAGAAGTAGGTGAGTGAACTTGTGGGACAGAGGTCACCTCAGATCACAAATACTGACACTCAAAGGTCTCTTCACCTGCCTATAACAGAGGGTGTTTTAATTTAGAGGCTGTTGTTTTGCAAATAAATGCTTACATTTGTCAATCCCAATATTGATGAGAACATAAAATGCAAATGCCGAGCCAACGTTGTCACCCTAAATATCTCCACCTCTCATAGTCCATGCAGTGTGGTTTCCTTGGAAGCCAGGACTGGTCTTTCCGCAGCTCCCAGCCTGGATCCTCAGGTAGGAAACAGCTCCGTAGGCCCTGTGAGCCCCGCACCCGAGACCTGACTTCGCAAAGTGACTGATGGATGTGAGCTGCAGGCTCCGCATGCTGATTCCATGTGAATGAACAGTAGGGCAGAGCGCTCCTCTGTGCGTGTTTTAGTGCATATTTATGTGCCATTTTATTATCAAAATAGAAACTTGTGAAGAACTTTTCATTTCTTTGGGCAATTAGTGCATTAAAAGCTCAGGAACCCTTGCCTGTTTGATTCCAAAATCATCAGAGAATTCAGTAGGAAAGTCAGGATTTGGCAGAAACGTGGTTAGATTGGCTGAAACATACAAAACACCCAGAGCCCACAAAATACCCAGAAGTTTAGGAAGATAGTTGAATGCTTAAGGGGCAGAGTTGAGTGCAGAGGTTGTAGAAATCGGTGTCCTTGGCCAGGCAGTCGAAGTGGGGCTCAGACTCTGTTCTTCACACCGAGTGTCAGTCAGAAATAAGTCAGTTCTTATTCCCAGCTCCCCACAAGCTGGGACCCTTCCGACCCTATAGAAGAGGGCCTGCGTGGAAGAGAACAGATTACCCTTCCAGACAGCAGCTCACTAATGACATTTGATTGGGTAAATAAATATATACTTCTTAAAAACATTACGGAGGTGATTACAATTAGATACAGCCACTGCTAAAATTGAGCAAAGCCCAAATATTGGTAGTCACGCATCCTGCCAGATGCCCCAGGGCCAGCCTGGAGCTCAGATAGATGTCTCCGGGGGTTCCATTCAAAGGCCTGAATTTGATATTAGAACCCCTTTTCTGCAGAGGGGTGGAGTGGGTAGAGCAATTGGTGCTTTCTATTTTTGTTTTGTTTGAGGGAGGAAGTAATACTTAGAAGCGGGCTCACTTCGACTTCTCCCTTTTTCCCCCCTGGGAAAATGTGAGCCTCTTGGTGGAATCTGGGTGTGCATTGTGCCTGTGCTTGCCACACACCCACACAGGTGGTGGATGGTGGGAAGGGCTAGGCCCGTTCATGGCAGTAGGAGGAAGGGGTTCTTTTTGGTAACAACATGAAACTGGAGTGGTTGGGCTCCCCACATGTATAGCTCCTTCCAGTGCCTGCTTCACTATGCGGTAGGAAAGAGGAAATCAGTTGGCTAAGGATTCCAGTTTCTCCCAAGCACCAGAGCTTTTCGGTTTTTTACCTTTACTCTGCCTTTCCTAACCATCCCTTTGCCCTTGGCCTGCTAATAGGAGCGTGTCAGTTGGAATATTTTCTGAGCACTTGGTAACTCCAGTCAGAAGTAAGTCCTAACTGTGGGGCAGTTGGAAAAGGTGGACTTGGATGGAGAACATCTTCCTGGGGGAGCAGCCTGAGACCCTCGAGACTAAAAAGCAGGGGCCACACCGGGCTTCCCGTATCTTTTCACTAAGATACATAGGAGCATAAAGTACAAACAGCTTCTAAAAGCACAAATAAAAGGCAAGTGGTGCTTAAGGGCAGAAATTCTTACAGCTGACAAATGAGAAACCATTGCGAGCTTCATTTCCAAAGTCAAATGTCTGCATCCTCCCTTTTTGCACACACGCACCAAGTGAAGAAGATACATGGCCAATATTGAGAGCAGACACCCCTTTAGCTGTTAGTCCCCAGGTCACAGCTGCTCCATCTCCCCACTGCCCACCTTGTCCATGGGGCTTCTCTAACTTCCTGGCCCTGAGAGCCAAACCAGAAGTCACACAGTTATACCTGCGTTTTGTTACACTTGGTGCTTGCTGACGTGGGAACACAGGCGTGGAGAGGAAAGGAATGAAAGAGAGGCTTGCGGCTGTGGTCAGAGGTGACAGAAATCGTGACCAGCAGAGATTTAAGCTGGACTTCCCTCCGGCTGTAGCTCGGGGATGTTTCCGGCAGCTGCAATCTCTGCAACCAAACTCTCCTCCTCCCCGTTGATTGCCTGGTACCCTTTATTCTTGCGCTTGCGGATGCCATAGAAAGCCAAGGCGATGAGGGCTGCCAGCAGGGTGGTGACGGCCACTGAGACGCCCACTGCTGCGCCCCCAGACAGCCCGCTGCTCTCCCCACGGATGATCCTCATGGCTCTGCGAAGCTCCTGCGGCTCTCCCAGCCTCCAGCGGTGCGTCCGGGAATCTCTGATCCAAGAGCTGGTGCTCTCGCTGTTGGTCACCATGACGGTGTTGGTGGAAGCCTGGCTCATGAGGGGTGGCCGCGTGAAAGGTGGGAGCCTGGCGGGGGGCAGGGACCCCCCAGTGAATGCCCCCGCCCTGACACAATAGGACACCTGGCATCCGTCGATGATGAGGGCCAAGTGCTGGCTGAAGCCCCCGGGACACTTTTTCTGGAGGTCCCCAGATAAAGCAGAGCTCACCAAGGGGTTCCCCACTGCACAGCTGAAGAACCCCCCAAAGGGGACAGAAAGCCTGTACCCCAACTCGTAGTCCTGTGTCACACATACCTTGAGGGTCTCAAAGAGGCTCAGTGTAGTGTAGCCCGCTGGGCAGGACTGTTCGTTTGTCATGGGGTTTACACCCCCACTGCTGAAGAGACCCCCAAAGAGAAGTCCCAAGTTTCCAGGCGCTTGCCGGCTGGCCGCACACCAAAATGCCCTAAATTCAGCCTTTGCCACCCGGAACACATCTTCACACACTGTCTTGCAAAAGACGAGGAGCGTGCACTTCTTTCGGCACTCCAGGTGGTTGTAACCCTCCTCATGGGTCTGGGACAGCAGGTGGACTGGGGTGTAGCCGGAGGGGCAGGAGAAGTTACCTGTGAGTGGATTCTTCTGCTCCAAGTTTGGGCAGAGGGCAAGATCGCTGCCTGAGAACTGGGTGCATTCCTGATAAATGCCACCAAAGGAGATGTTGTTCGTCTTCCCACCGCAGGAGCCATCATCGGTATTGGCTTGAAAGTTGAAGTTCGGGGAGCCAGCGTCTGTGCACCCGGGATAGGTATTGAAGGTGTAATAGCGATGCACAGCAGCCTCCACCGTCTGAGACACCTGCTTCACCAGTGGCCCCGGCAGCTCGGGCAGCATGTCCGGCTTGATGAAGAAGTGAAGGGGCAGGCCAGCCCGGTCCACCGCCACCAGGTGGTTGTGGATGCCTTGCTGCCAGACTTCAAGGGTGATGCCTGGGTGAAAGGGAACCCCTCCAAAGCTCAGCACCCTGGAGTTGGTGCGATTGGCGAGGTAGCTCTTGATCAGGGCTTCCTCAGTGGAGTACCCAGTTTCAACTTTGGCGTTCACGACTTTTGAGAAGACAACTCCAGCAGATGCAGTCAGGCTCTTTTGGCTGGTCTGGCTGTCCTGGAGGGTGGAGGACCTGATGTGGTCCTCCTGAACCAGAGCTGCCCCGGCGTCCACACTGGTGATGACGTGGGTGCCGTAGTGCAGGACTAGGAGTTCCGCCAGGTAGGTGGCCATCCTCGTCTGGTTGTTCTCTAGCCGGTTAGAGATGTCCATGAGCAGCTCCTTAAACTCCCAGGTGAATTCTGAGGCTGGGTTCATTTTGACTGTGTAGACCAAGTTTCTGACTTGGACTCGAGTGGTTACAGCTTGGTCCTTCACTTGAAGGGTCTTCATCCTCTGGAACTCGGCAGAAAATTTGCCATTGACCTTGGAAAAAAGGGCAACGTCCAAATTGACAGAAGAAGAGGTGCTGCTCCTGTAATCCGTCCAGGACTGCAGGATTTCGGAGTTCATCTCCAAGCTGCTCTCTTTCTGGGGAATGGTGAAGATTTCGTTGGGGATGATGTATTGCCCATCCTCGGTGGTCCTACAGCGAGTGTAGGTCAGCTCTATCACCCGCCCCATGTCTATATTCCGCAGATTGTCCCATCCCCCTCCAGGTAAGACTTCCAGGACAGGTAGCTTCAAGGCATCCCTGCATTTTTGAAAGCTGGTTTCATCTAGCTCGTGCAGAAGCTCGTCTGTCCCCGCACACGCTGCCACAGCCCAGAGGAGCAGGCCAGCCCCGAAGGTGTTCATGGCGCCGGAGGCTCCAGCCATCCACCGCCTCAGCAGCTGCCTGCGAACTTGGTGCAAACTGAAAGATGGGAAAGAAAGCAGTTGTAGAAACAGTAATTTCAACAATCCTCCTAAAACCACCGGTTCCTCTTTAGATGGCTTACATTGCAAATTGGGGAAATGAGACTTGGTTGAATAATAAAGTCCATTCGAACTTTGAAAAAGTCATGCTGTGTAGATCTGCAAAGCCAGCCCTGTTCTCAGCGCATCCCCACTCTGTTCCCCACACCCAGCTGATTGTTCTGTAGCAAGAGTAGCACCTAGAAAGTGTGACCCTGTACCTGACAACTTCCTCCACCTGACGGCTTCAGATTCGTTCACTTTCTTGGACTTGATGTTTTAAAATTTTGCCTGACTGATCTTTTCTGGAATTCTGATGCCAGCTTCCTTTTAGTGGAAATGCAGAGGTTAGTGGCAGCATCAGCTTTACTGAGATCCCCTGCCTCCACCATGCCCAGGCTAGCTGGAGGTCAAGACCAAGCCCTGGGCTTCCTGTCCAGCTGAGGGTACAGGCTGTTCCCACGGAGGAAATGGGTAAAAAGCGTGGACACATGTCTCAGGAGGCCGCACTGTTACAACCCCGAATAGTCCTGGCTTTGGAGCTGGCGTTAGGTGCAGCAGAGTTAGAGAGGCTGAGGAGGGTTCTGTGGGCGATATTCTGGGAGCCCCTGTCCGTAGTGTCCTAAGCTTTCGAGTGAAAGAGAGGGTCCCCATACTCCGCTGCTCTTTCCTTTCAGACACGGGTGTGTGAGCAAAGACAGAAGAAAGCTGCACTGTAATCTAGGTTTTGATTTACCAAAAGCACACGGGGCCCATGGAATGTATGTGAGTAAATACACACATTTAGGTAGCTTCTCCGCACGTGCAGTTTACAAGGAGTGGTATCTGTGGTTTTACCTTTAATTTTTCGTTGAGTTGTTAAGTGCATGTAATGAGTATAGTGCATTAAAAGGAACATGGCTCTTCATTACTCTTTTTTTTTTAAGCAACAATTCATTTGTTGTATCATTGGGAAAACATAATTCCATGAATTTTCTTTTGGGTAACAATACCAAGTCTGGTAGATCCCATATGAACACCAGTGTTTCCAAACCCATTGGTCCCGCCTCAGGATTAATTGAAGGCCAGCTCTGTTAATTTGGGGGGATAATTAGAATGTGTCTCAGTACTTTTACCAACAGCCAGGATATCCAGCAGTTAATGAACTCCCAGTTGCATCCTCATGGCCCCCAGATGATACCTCGAAGCAGATACAGTGCCGAGACTGCAAAGAGCCATACTTCAGCTCACAAGTTTCACTACACTGTCACCTGTAGGCATCCCAGAAAGATCATTCCAAGGAACTGAATCACCACAGATTGTCACTTATGCAGGTGAGGAGAGCTTCGAGAAACAACAAGACCAAAAGAAGCCCCATCAAAAAATGGGCAATTGATCATCTTCCCAGCTAAGAATGATCCATCTCCCTACTTCCTGTTGTCTATCTTTTATTTTGCTCTCTATTTATAATTTGGGTTTCTCATGTAAGAGAAGCCATGTGATATTTAAGCTGTGTGTCTGCTTTATTTTACTTAACATTATGGTCTCAAGATGCATCCATTTTTCTACAAATGACTCAAGGCTATACTTTTATGGCAGAGTAGTGCTCCATTTGTGTTAATAAATTTTCTTTATCTATTCATCTGTTGATGGACATAGGCACCATTACCAAGATGTAGTTGTTATGAATTGTGCTGCTATAAATATGGGTCTGCATGTAAAACGTAATGTGATGCCTTTAACTCTTTCAGGATACCTAGAAAGGGAGTAGCTTGATCAAATGGAAATTTTAGTTTTAATTTTTCGAGGAATCTCCATAATGGTAGTACTAGTTTACATTCACACCAACAGTGTAGAAGGGTTCCGTTTTCTCACAGCCTTTCCAACATGTGTTATTATTTAATTTCTTAATTCTATTTTTTTTCTTTTTTTCTTTTTTTTTTTGGTACCTGGGATTGAACTTGGGTCCTTGTGCTTGCGCAGCAGGTGGCGGAACCACTGAGCTAAATCCCCGGCCCATTATTTAATTTCTTGATAGAGAAATGGAGGGTGGGAGAGGGAGAGAAGAGATCAGAGATGAAAGAAAAGAACTAGGATGCGTTATGTACATGTACCAGCTCCACACAAGGACTGTAAACATTATGTACTACACACATGTATGAATAAAATAAGAAAAATGGTCAGTTGAAGTCAATAGACACTTATCAGAAGTAAAAGCACAGATGGCCAATGAAAAAAATGTTCAGCATCATTGCCTCTTAGAGAGATGCAAATCAAAAGAACGCTGAGATTCTGTTTTACTCCAGAAAGAATATCACCTGTCATCAAGAACTCAGAACAACACCTGCTGGCTGCTAGCAAGATTGGGGGGGGGGGACCTTCTACATTGTTGGTGGGAAGGTAAACTAGCATAGCCACTATTGAAATCAGTATGGAGATGCCTCAAAAAACTAAAAATAGTTAAAGTCATCATATTGTAGTTATAATGCATACTCATGTACCACAATTCATTTTATAATATCTAAATCTTGAAAACAGCTGATAGGTCCCAAACAGTTAAATGGATAAAGAAAATGTGGTATATATACACAATGGAGTTCTATTCAGTCACAAAGAAGTATAAACTTGAGTTACCTGTAGGACTGAATGCATCTTGAAACCATAATGCTAAGTGAAATAAATCAGACATAGAAACTTCAATATTGCATGGTTTCTTTTATGTGAGAAACCCAAAATTAAAATAATTTAAAGAGCAAAATAAAAGACGATGCCAAACAGGAGGTAGACTTTGCACAGATGGGAAGAGATGGGAAGAAAAAGGAAGTAAAAATGATTAAGACACAATATGTATATGTACACATTTCCCAGTAAGAATATAACTAGTATGCATTGTAAACATACTTAAAAAAAAGAAAGAGAGAGAGAAGAAAGCAGCCAGTAATGCAGCTCCATGGGCTGATTCACCAGTCACTGGCTGGGCCCTAGCAGGGCTCTGGTGCTGTTCTGCAAGCCCAGCGGCAATGCATTCTGGCTCCAGTCACGCCAGGGCTCTGGCTTCGGGGCATTGACTTCCACCAGCCTCCCTCCAGGAAGGAGCAGCTTATGAACAAACTTCTCCTCTATTTTTGGCTAGAGAACCAAACCTCTGCAGAGGATGTTCTGGTTCTTTTTCAATCAGTTAGTGACAGACGCATACCTCGGCAGAGGGACCCTGGAATTAGAAAATGTGAGTTTAATGCCCTGGAGCCTTTCTAATAAGCCACCATCTGCACACTTCTCTCCAAACTATATCAAGAGCTTCCTCAGGATGGAATAGCTTCTCACTGACACTGTCCAGGGGAGACACGTTAACGATTTCTCCTCCCGCCCCTCCCCCCCCTCCTCCTCACTTTACTGGATCCTGTAGAGTCCTTACGCTCCTGAAATGAGAATACAGACAAGGTGAATACAGACAGTTCTATATTCCAGAGCTCGCACTACCCTAAACATCCACCTATTCCCCCTCCTCTTTTGGACTACAACCTTCCTCTTCATTTTTACCATAGAAAAAATTAAAGATAGCTAAAAGATCCAACCAGAGTGATGAAGTATTTTATAGTCCAATTACTCCAATTTTAATAACATGAGAAACTTTGCTACAATATTGTGAAGTAAAGGATGATGCATTTGGCATGACCCCAGCTATGTACAAATATATGTAACCAGAAGGATCTACACCAACCCACTGACAGCACAGTGGACCCTCAAGTTACGACCAGTCTCACACATGAACAACTTGGGCTATGACCAGAATTTTAGTTCTAACTTACGAGCAAAGTCTTGAGTTATGACCCAAGTGCCGGTCTTTCCTGTGTGGGGTTAATTAAGAAATCCTGGAGCCTTGTCTCTCTAAGGACACTGAGACCTGCCTATAAGAAAATGAGGCCTAAAATTATACAGGAGAGAGACTCTGAAGGCTGTGTAGAGAGGCCTGAGCCTTCAGTTGACCCTGTGGTTGATGACACTGTCACTATAGCAGAGTCCATAAGCTCGCAGGTACACAGTGGAGATGTTGAGGAACTGGTGTAGGAACAGTAGAGGAACTGTCTATAGAGGAACTTCAGCAGCTTCTGGATGAGCAGCAGGGAATGGCAGCTGAGGACCCTTTCTGAAGAGGAGGGGGAGCATCAACAATCAGTGCAGCAATGTTCTTCTGCAATAAAGGAAATCCTGAAAAACTGGACAGAGCTACACACATTTGTAGAGAAGACCCAGACAGAGGAAAAGCTAATTGCTGCATTCACTTGCTTAATGACGATGTCATGTCATGCTACAGAACAGTGTTACAGACAGAAGCAGACAACCTTAGACCAGCTTTTAAATCTGAAAAGGTTGAAACCTACTGAGTCAGAGCAAGTCCTAGTGAGCTACAGACTCTCCCAAGGAGAGAAACGACACCAGAGAGCCAGACTTCTGATGCTCTTCTCCTTCCAAAGAGTTACCACCTTCCGTTCATCCTCCCTTCCTACAAGCCAGAGATGTCAACTTGAAAGGTGAGTACAGTATGAAACTGGTGTTTCTGGTAAACTAGGCACATTTTGTAACTTTTTGGTGAATATACTGGGAATATTAATGGTGTTTCTGGTAAATTACACACATTATACAACCTTTTTTATTATGAAAAGGTTAGTTAATGGGGTGCTTTGGGAGGTTCAGAAAGCATTATGGTTATTTCCATTTTTTTCTTATGGGAAAAATAGTCTTTAATTACAACCAACTTGAGTTACAGTCCACCCTTGCGAACAAATTGAGTTCATCAGTCAAGGGACTACTGTAATTATATTTAGTGGTAGATTTTACAGATGACTTTTGATATCTTTCCTCTTGCTTTTCTATATTTTTTGAGTTTCCGAAAATGAGCATGTCGTACTCATTGAACAAATATTTCCTGAGAACCTATTAAGTACTGAACAATAATAGGCACCATGT